TTGCATTGATTCATTAAACTTTTGTTGTGGAACAGTTCTACTTTCCCTTATGCTTTTATTATCCTTTCATGTCGAAATATTTGGTATTTATAAATGTGCACTTTTGTGAACCATAATGTGCATCGTTTTGGAGCATTCTCACGTTAAGGAGTGTTCTCACCGGAACCCGAACCTTTTTCAAAATATATCAAGTATACAGGAAGTATTGTTTTGTTCATACAAAACCCTTTGTTGGGGAAAACAAAGCTTTCAGATAGGACACCTTTTATGGGACATAGGAGTACATTCTATGACTTAGCATGAGCACTGCTAAAGTGCTAATACTTCTTTGTTTTGTGGTTTAATCAATTATCTTTATAATATTTACGAATTACAACACAGGTATAAAGAAAGTGAGCGAGTGATGGAGACATTTCGCAGGGATCTCCATTTACCTGTAACTTGTGTTGATGCAACAGAGCAATTCCTAAGCAAACTAAAAGGTGTTGTGGACCCGGAAATGAAGAGAAAAATAATTGGGAAGGAGTTCATCTGCATATTTGATCATTTTGCTCAAGATTTGGAGAAGAAATTAGGGAAGAAACCTACTTACTTGGTCCAAGGAACATTGTATCCAGATGTGATAGAGTCGTGCCCCCCACCAGGCAGTGGAAGGACACACTCCCACACAATTAAGAGCCATCACAATGTCGGAGGGCTTCCCAAAGACATGAAATTGAAGCTCATTGAACCACTAAAACTCCTCTTCAAGGATGAGGTTTCATTTCTATTACTTCATCTTTTTTACATTTGAACATTCCATTTGTTCTGAGCAGAAACCATGTTCTACTGTTCCTTTCACATTTGTGCACCACTCATTCTGTTGGTTGATGTGTTATTTAAATAATTATTATTAATATTATGGAAAAGATGATCTCGTAAATATTTTATATGGTGCTTCAAATGATTGACAGGTTCGTGAATTGGGAAAGATTTTGAATATTCCGGTGGCTTTTCTGAAACGCCACCCTTTCCCTGGGCCTGGCCTCGCTGTTCGAATTCCAGGTGATGTCACAGAAGGAAATGCCTTGGAAATTCTCCGCCAGGTAGATAAGAGCTTTTATTCAAACTCTAAGGCTGTGTTTGGTGCCCATGAAATGGTAGGGAAGGAGAAAAAATGCCACTGAAAATAGTTTTTTGATGTTTGTAAAAACGAAAATCTGTTTTGATTAGATTTTTTAAAACTTACACAGATGTATATTTTCAGTGTTTGTACAATACTCAACCATATATTAATAAAATGAAATTGAACAACTTATTTAGAATTGATTTCATTCTTTCTTTTTGCATTTCCCAAATTTCTTTCCTTCCAAAACCCCCACTGTTTTCCTTTGTATGTTCTTACCTTGGTATTTTTATGGCTCCAGAGTAGTAGTATTGAATTTTATTCTTAATGAATTATCTAGAAACCTTTTTATTTTATTTCCTACTTTCATAACTATTATAATTTCTCTTGGCTTTTTTCCCCAGGTGGATGAGATTTTCATTCAATCAATCAAAGAAGCTGGGATTTATGATGATATCTGGCAAGCTTTTGCTGTGTTTTTGCCAGTGAAAACAGTGGGAGTTCAGGGAGATCAAAGAACACATTCTCATGCTGTTGCACTTAGGGCAGTAACTAGTCAAGATGGAATGACTGCAGACTGGTACCTTTTCTATCGTATATTCATATTGATTATTTATTTTTTCTTATTGTACAATAAAAAATGCAACTCTTAGTTTAGGTCTTTAGGATGTATATGAGTTATTTTCATTTTCATTACCAATTTGTTTTACAAAAACTCTATTGGTTAATGTATATATAATGAAGCATATTTTTAAAGGTTTAAAGGGGAGGGCCTATACCCAAATTATATGTGCTGTTTGTCATGAATTGTTATTGCTATATACTACCTACATCCCATTTAAATGTTCTATTTGACCAATGTACAATTTTTTATTTTCGGTAAAAGCATAGCGGTTACAAGTGAAATGATACTTTTATATTCAGAAAGCTATCTTTTATGTTGTAACTTTTGTTGCCCTATCTTGAAAGATTATCTTCCTTTTTGAGACAAAAAAGGATTAGATATCGCACTCTTTTGACCAAATGAGTATCTGTTATATATATATATACACACCTTGTTCTTCTCTTTGCATTCTCTAAATAAGGGGTTATTTGATGTAAATTCGTTTATTGAAACTTCAAATTTCAGGTACTACTTTGAATTCAAGTTCCTCGATGAAGTGTCAAGAAAAATATGTAATGGTGTCCGGGGAGTGAACCGAGTCCTTCTAGATATCACATCCAAGCCTCCATCAACCATTGAATGGGAATGATCCTTCCATTGTGATTTATGACTAATCTCTGGTGTTAGTGAAACCAGAGAGTTTTGGAATGATTTATACTAAGAAGTATCGTTATATTGTCAATCTTAGTATGTTAGTTTTAGAGGATTGCTACCGGACATTATGGGTTATTCCATATTTCCATAGTGTCAACATTCATGTGAAATTGTCATATTCTCACCCATAAGGTTACATATATATTCTTTGAGGTATGCCAAATTGTCAGCCTCTTGATTGGGTTGGAACCCCACTATGTCCAATTTCTAATCCATAAGGGATGGAAGTTCATATGAGAGGTGATATTGATTCAAGTGGATCATCTTCCATACTCAATATCATCTTCATGTGGCTACACTCGAGTTCCTCTCCACGTGAGAGGTCTTAGCCCCTGTTTGGATATCAGCGGCTTAGGGCCAAACCACCAACTTTTTACAAAGGGAAACGCTGCTCTTTGCAGCGGTTTGGTGTGAAACCGCCAAAAACCAAGGTGAGTTTGAGCGGAATTTCTTAAATCATGATTCCCTCGGAGCTAGTTCAAGTACCGTGTAGTAATTGCTGTGCTGGTTTGGTTTCTTGGCTAATCTGTTCCAGTTTCGAGTAGGAGTAAATAGGTGGTGTTTGGATCACTTTTTTTAAAACTGCTTCTGTTCATTGAGCGGGCAGAAACAAATATTAGAGTGTTTGTGTGCAACTGTGCAAGTGTAGAAGTATCTCTAGGTACTCCAAATTGCTCATAAAAGCATTAAAGTTGGGAGATAATATTTCTGAAAAACTAGTTCTGTTTCTTTTTCTAAAAAAGTAGAAGTAAAATCAGTTATAAACAACCCATAGTAGAACTAGAATTTCATCCATGTCAACCAATTCCATTTCAAATTATTTCCGGACTTCCGGTTTTAGCTTATGATTGTGGTACCATTTCAAAATAACGGAAACACATATACAATTTAGATTTGTTGCCAAATTGTGCCATGTGACCCATGTCTAGAGTAATAGCAAAGCATTGAATTATAAAATGTCGTTGTTATTAAGAATCCCATTAATAAATAAAAATCCCGTTAAAAATACGAACTGTATCAACAAATCACAAAAAATGGAGCTTGCCTTGCTAAAATGCCAAATAGCTAGGGGTATTTATTATGTGTCTCATTTCAAGATTCTCATACACAATTCTAGGGGTGGGCATAACGGTTTTGTTTAACCGAACCGTACCAAACCGAACTAAACCGAACCGAAACAGGACTGTATGCAATTTGGTTTGAGTTTGGTACTATTTCTTTCAAACCGTATTAAACCGAACCGAACCGAAACCGATGAAAACCGAACAAAACCGAACCGAACTAAAGAAACTAAAAAAAAATTCATATATTATTAACATTGGTGGTTTGATTTGGTTTGGTTTGGGTTTATTTAAGTAAACCGTTTGGTAAACAATTGCTCAAACTGAATGGTTTGATACTTTGGTTTGGTTTAAAACGGAAAAATCATAAGCCGGACCGAACACCAAACAACATATACATATACATATACATATACATATACATATACATATACATATACATATACATATACATATACATATACATATACATATACATATACATATACATATACATATACATATACATATATATATATATATATATATATATATACTTTGCATTTATCTTAACTATTCATTTTTAATATATAAATAAATAATTTAGACACGAATATACATATTTAAACATATACTTGTATCATTTTAATTTTTACACATTTCATACATTCATTATGACAAAGTTAGCTAATACGACATATTTGTACGGAATATTTATTATGTTTGGTAATAACAATAGCAAATTGCATTTATATTTTTATATGATTCATTTGAATAAAATTGTGAATATTACACATTTGTACCACCGACTCTTTTAGGTTTTTTGAATATCTTATGTGATATTACAAATGCTAATCAACTATCTTATTTTTTGTAAGAAGTGAATTTTTTGTAGTGATAAAAAAATGTTAGAAGTTTTAATTTATAATATTTTATTATTTATTTTTCTATCTTTCATTTCCTTTTACATTTTATTTAAATAATCAATAAATAAAAAAAGATGAGATGACCTACTACTTTCATTTTCTAATTCTAAAATATAGAACTTGATCAAATAAAATAATAAACATAAGCAAACGAATCAAACCAAACGAAATTAAACATAATATTTTTTACTTTGGTAAACCGAACCGAACCGAAATCGAATTGAAACCAAACCGAAAAACAAATGGTTTTAGTTTGGTACAAATTCTCCCAACCCGAATACACCGAAACCGAACCAAAACCGAAGAAAACCGAACCGTAAACCGAATTGCCCACCCCTACACAATTCTAAGCGTAAACCGAAATAGAAATATCAAGGTTTGGTGTCAAAAAATATATATGAAGGTTTGGAGTTTCCCATACGTTTCTAAAAGCGTGTATTTATTATGAGTTTTTTACGAGAATATTACTAAAATAAAACTTATTTACATAAATATGACTATTCATTACTACAACGTAGTGCTGTGATAACTAAAGTTCAAAACTTGAACATGAATTACTATGGTTTCATTACTACTCTAGTAATGAATCATATTTTTGTAAACCATCTTTATTTTAGTCATATTTATGTAATTATTTCATTTATTATTGGTTCATCAACGAATCGTTGATATTATTTAAAGTAATTTTTCTTTAAAGTTATTATTTTATTATACAATTTTTTTCCAGAAGAGGCTCTCACAAGTTACAACCGAAGTTGCAAAAACAAAAACAATTCACTCACTAAGAATAATAGATGGTTAAGTTGGCATATACATCATTCAGTACAAACAGAAGTTTAAGGGAAGGCATTCTAGACATTATGCAACGGAACAAAAGTGATCAGGTTAGTCCCAATAGTGTCTGTGTAATCACACCTGTTGATGCGGCTTTCAACTCCTCTATCTGCATTTTCAGAAGCAGAGACCAAAAAAAGGTTAGGAATTCGAATTGATGCCGTGTTTGGACCAGGGGAGTAAAAGAATCAAACCAAATATCCAAAAATCAAGGAAACTGGATTCAACTCAACAAGTTTTACTCATATTAGGATTTGAATACTAGTTCAGCAAAATAAGAAATCATCAGTTTTGATTCATTAATTCATTAATAAACTATAAAAGAGCAAATGTGCAAAAATTGCATAGATAAACTTTGTAATTACTATATGGATATTTACATTGTTGTGTGCATGTCTCTATCTCGTAAATGTGATGGTCTTTCAATTTCTATTTAACGAACACCAAATTTGAATATGTAATACTTGGATTCAGATTTGATAATTGTTCTAAAATCTTTTTCTATTCGGTAATACTCAGATTCAAATCTCATTTATGTATTCAAATTTTGAACTATTCAGTAAGGATTTGATTCATTTGCACCTCTATTTTGGGCCAAGGAAAATGTTAGAAGTGGTTTGCTAAGAGAAATAAGTAGCTTTATTTTATGTTTGTTTGGAAAGCACAACAGAAAATATGATCACTTTTCCACACACATTTATATTTCTTAATCTTTAGATTATAAAAATAAATAAATAATTCGATAAATAATGTTCACATATAGAAGTACCTTGGCTTTGATAGTCACGAAAAGAATCCCATCAGTATTGGAGGATTGTATTTCACGGCAAACCAAATGCATATGGTTCAATGCCTCGACTATTTTAATCAGAATTCCCTCACTCCAAACACACCTCATCTCGATCATGACATTGTCTTCATTTACACTAATGTTAACACCATGAGCTAAACCATTCTTGGCGAAACCCTTGTTGTTGTCGTGTGGGCATTCTTCCATATCATCCTCGTTCTTCCCCTTCTGTGACAATGAGTTGCCTTTATCCATATCATCGTCATTGTCATCATCACCATCATCAGATACTCCTCTTGTTCTTGAGTCCTTATGAGATTCAACCTCTCTACATCTTCTTTCAAGTTCTTTCAGATATCCAATTGTCTCATCAAGTATAGATATCTTGTCACCCTGCAAAAACTTAGTAAACCTCACTGTTTTACTAGGAGCTTAAGTCTTGTGTCTATTTTTTTCCCGTTCGTCTTAGTAATGCATGGGAGCTACTGAGCTAGCAGGCCGCAAACTGCTAGTCTACTGCCTACTGATAATAAGTAGCCTAATCGTACTAATCCCCGTCCTATACAATAGGCTATTGTGAAGGAGAAGACTAGGTTCTTTTTTATTATTATGCTCTTTTGTTTTTATTATTGATATTTTCCTTTTAATGGTAATGATATTCTTTCATATATATAATTATATACATAGTACTTCGTTTATTATTTCCTAAAAGTTACATTTTTGTTACAAAATACTCCTTTTTTAAATAGTGAAGTGATTACTAAAAAATTAGATCTAGTCATACAGAATTACTGGTATAATAATTAGTATAATTAAATTACTGTAATTTTAATTATAATTTTTTAAAAATAAATAAATACTGAACCCTTCCCTATTTAAACTGCTTATTCACTATTCAATGCGGTCAATTGAACTTCCATCCCCTTAATTTCGAAATTTATAAATTAAACTTATTATTTTTTAGTTCTGATTTTGCGACTTAATAACTCTTATAGTGTAGTACCTAAAACTATAAATTTTAATTGCTAAAAATAATTTAAATATTGTTAGGGACGATTAAACTTTAAGATTGTAAATCTAATTTCAAATAAGCAAATAAAAATACACACTTGAAACTCATAGCAACAGCAGTAAAACAACTAATGGCATGATATTCAATTAATACCTGAGTCCTTAATAAAGATTGAGTTAAAATTTTGAGAAACTAATTTTTTTGTCTCGTACGTAGTATTTATTTAGAAGAGAAATAAATAATATCAACCGCATACTATTTTCAGTCAAAGTGGGTGATAGCTTTGGGACGTACGAAAAAAAGAGTGAAGATCATTTATATTTTATAGGCAGAGTATAAAGGACGAATATTCCCAAAGAAATGTTATTCCATAAATACAATAAAATAATTTAAGAGAGAAGATGCAGTTTAATGAAAGTGAATATTCAAACTATGTTTAAACAAATGAATTGAAAGACCTAATGAGTCGGCTGCCTAGCGCCTGCCTGATGGGCCGATCGCGACACCTAATGAGTAATGCCTCCTCGCCCAACTAAGCTTGTTTTTAATCCACAGAATAGAGCTTCCCGCTCAAAGGGGTAAAAAGATTTGATTTGAGAAACAAATAAACATACCTTGCAAGTAGCAGGGATCAAAGATGCAAGAATCATGAATCTCTCGTTCAACTTTTCTCTACGCCTGCTCTCCAACGCAGCACGGCTCCTACCAGTTAAATCAGCTCGGGGCCCACTAATAACCTCATTCTCTCTGTGACATTCTCTAAGGGAGCATCCGTGCATTCTGGCAACATCAAGAAGAACCTTCTTCAAGATCCTTTGTGGTGGTCCTGGTGGAGCGCTTATGCCTTTAGTTGAGTTTGTCTTCTTCCAACTAACAAAGCTTGATGAGTATCTATCACAAACACTACTACTCCGGGAGCTCGGTCCGAGAATGAATTGGTGAGAATTTTGCAGCACATTCGAAAGAACAGATTGATAATGAACATCGATTATTCCTTGTTGTTGTTGTTCGGAATGCCGATTTATATAGTTCTGGGAGATACAATCGCTTGAGTTCCCAGAATGATTATCGATGCAATTGCTAACATCGTCTTCATCATCTGCAAACATCCAATTTTGTAGCTGTGATGCTTCCCTGTTGATGTCTTCAACCATACATGAATCATTGGAATGCTTGTAAGGCAAACCTATATCATTGTTGTCGACACATTCCGGAGGAGGAGAAAAAGGATTCATATTAGGTGGAACTTTGGAAATGATAATGTGAGGACCGTCCAGGCACGAAGTTCTAATGTGATGGATGAGGCCAAGATCCTCTTGAACCTGCAAAAGGAGAGGCAAAAAACAACAATTAGGCACTCTTTGGCAACCTCATCATCATCATCACCCCAGTGCCGCAAAGGCTCCAACCTACGGTGGGGTGGGGGGGGGGGGGGTCGGATGTATGCAGTCTTACCCCTGTACTAAAGTACATAGAGACTGTTTCCGGATGACCCATAGTGAAAATCGTCGAAAATTGCATGGACTAATTATTGCTTCATAACAAAGAAGTGCAGACAGTTTAGTGAGCCATTTTGCTTTATTCCATCATATTCCCAAGCCGAAAAATAGCTAGCCTTTGGCTCCATTGCAAATGATGGAAATTTGCAATGGAATAATTTGGCGCAATCAATGGACCCCTTTGCACGAACTCCATATATTTTTCAAGCCTTACTCAGCTTATTTTGATCGTACTGAGCAAGATATTAAAAATAGTAGTTTCTGATTTACTTAGTTGGCCGAGACTGAACACATTTTCTTTCAAAAATTCCAGCAACTCAATAATTTCAGCCAAACAGTTATTACAATACACTTGCTTAATATTGAAATGATAAATATTACTACGTAAATGACGTACATGAGAATATGAGTTTTTGTGAAAGCGAAGAAATTTATCATTTATAAATTAGTCTTGCAGTAAAACTAGCACTACGTATAATTGAAGTCTAAAATTTACAAGCTCATGAATAATTTTATAAAAATATTAACCCAAGTATATTTGTTTTCAGTTTTTGTTGGCACTTTTCAAAATTAACAGTATTACTAGAAGTATGATTATTTGTAGTTCATTATAAACAAACAAAAAAAACAAAACTTAAAACTCACCGCGATGCCGCACAAGCCTTGGCTAAGTTTGCAAGTTTTGTCTAAAGTATAAATTTGAAATTAAAGAGAACAATTATGACTTATAAAAACTGCAAGCATTCATCATTGAAGGGTTATGTTTCAACTTTGTTGTGAATAAGTCTTGAAACTTTTGGGAAGATTCAGATACACCCTAAAATTTATGCTAGTTTTAGGGCACCTAGTAGGGGACTAAACATCTAACTAGAGTGGTTTATAGTTAAGTGTCACAGCCGTGACTTTTATTAGGGACCTGATGTACATATCACCCAAGAAAAAGCGCGAAGCAAAGGAAAAAAGAAAAATTGAAGCTCACTTACAAAGTCAGTAGTTCCCAGCTCAATTACACCTCCCAAGTGTGGAAAGCATACAACAGTCTATCAGACAAAAACATCAACAACAAAAATGCCTTTCTCAATTGAAATCAGTAGCAATTTGCTGAAAAGTTTATACAGAAAGGAAAGATCAAGCTAAGTAACGATGCAGGAAAAAAATGGTTTACCTGAACAGATGCACTCTGAATGGCCATGTATGGTACAACGTAAATACATAGTAGAGTAGGCATTTTTTGAAGACAAAAAAATATAGTGTCATGAGATTGAGTATCAAAATGTTAAACAACGCTTCTTTTTTGTGCAGGCTAGACGAGATTTGGGTAAGAATTGCTCCACTTGCCTTTGCAAGCAATGATCTGGTAAAGATTCTGCTGTCTGCTTGATCTGCATTGCATAGCCAAATACTTTGCTTCTTCTCAAGTGCCCTCCCAGGCAACCTGGTTAGTAATGTAAAAGAGCATTAGCATGACTTCAGACTCCACCCCGGCTTACGAGCATTTCAGAACCAAATACTCTTAAAGACATTTCTGGAACATAAGGCATGTTTGGGTTTCGGAGTTTCAGCCAAAACACTAAACACAAATGAACAAAACACGCTGCAAATTGCAGCGTGTTGGAATGGCGTTTCCACTCAAAAGCCAAAAAACAAACGAAACCATAGTCAACATACGTTTAGTCATGTACATTCGTCAAACCTTCACTTTTCTTCTTTATTTACGGATGGCAAGTCAATTTTTATTTTAAAGATTAAGAGATAGCAAAAGCATTTTAAAGAAATGTGATTCCGGTCTTGCATTACTTCAGTTTGACCTCGAATATTCTTGCCCAGTCCTGAGCCAGAAAAAAATAGGTCTACTCTTTGGGCCAACTTTTTCCTTTTAAATTCTGGATCTTGTTCAATCTGGTCTGATCCAATTTTGGACTAATATTCATCCCTAGGAACAAGTACAATGTGCTCTCTGCATTTATGGGTCATTGTCTGTTCTTTAAATTTTAAAAAAGAAATGAAGTTTGGGAGGGAACAAATTTACGAAAAAAACCATGCCTTCCCGTCACATACCCAAAAAAAATCACAAGTGCAGAAAGATGAAAGGGAATAAGAGAGTTACCCTTGGCCTATGTTGAATATGAATGACATGCAAACCAAAAAATACCACTCCGTATCAGTGAGATCTTCCGGTGACAATGCAACAGAGTGCATCTTTGGTTGTGGCTTGGCTTCACCCGCTAACAGAGACTCATAAAGCTCCCTCAATTGATCAGTCCTCTGTAATCCCAACTGATCAGCACTGATTTCTGTAGCCTGCACCGTTTTCCTGGTCTTTATATCTCCATTGTAGTACCCATCTCCCCATTCCAGAACCCTAATTTATATTATTTATTCACAACTTAGCTAAACACAACCACACAGCACTTCATGTCATCTCATGCTTTTAGATTCTACTACTTATACAATTAAAACATTTCTCCGGATTCCAATACAAGAGTAATTCATTCATGAAATGTACATTAAGGTAAAAAGATGGGGTTCAATCACACAATATAAAATAATTATTCCAACACTTTAAGCTAATTTACTTTGTTTGAAACAGAAAAGCCAGTTTCAGTAAGAATATAAGTTTTAGTACCCTGTTTGGGAAGAAGAAATGGACCAAAAAATTGCATAGGTCCATTCAATATCTCTAGCTGTAGCACCAAGCTTTTCCCTTAGGCTCTCTCCAAATACCTCTTCATCTTCATACCCCCTTGCCATTACTCCTACACTTCGCCCAAATACACAAAACAGTATTGAGTCAAAGCAACAAAAATAGTAAAAACTAAACTTCAATAATGCAAAAAGCACTTAACAAGATTATTATATTTGGTTCTCTATTCCTCATTCACACATCAAATTTATTTTGTCCCAGAAAACCAAGAACCCACCTCTTTTTTGTGTGTGCTCGATTGGGCATTTACACCAAGAAATTGCACATGGGACATACTATTCAACCTCTTGAGCTATACTACGAATTATAGTAATAATTTTATCAGCCCATGAATCTGAAAAGAAAAGCACGTGATGCTGCAAAGGCAAACACCACTTTAAAGCCGAACCTAACTTTTAAAATAAATAAATAATAAAAGTATATAAGGTGGGGTTTCTCAATTTCCCTCTTCAAATACATGCAAAAACCCGAGGGGTACAACAAGTATATATTTTGTATCCGTGGTCAATGAGAAAAAAGATTTGATCTTTGAATAAAGAAATCCAGGAAGTAATGATTGAAGTGAATGTATGCAAGCACGATACAAATTAAGTTTAAAATAAAAAGACTCAAGAGTGCTAAAGATCCAGTCTTTTGGTGTGTACCTGCAGTGGGCCTGCTTCCTGCCTGCAGTACTGAATAGTGAATACCCCAATCACCATATAACCGTCCACCTTCAGTCGGTGGGTGCTGAGGGCCCTCAGAGGGGTTTTAACTTTCTTCTTTTTCCACCCACCTATATGCTCCTTTTTATTGTTATTGACGTGTAAAGAGACGTCTGCAAATATACAATGAATCAATGATAGACTTGACTAAATAACTACGGAGGACTATGTACAACCCAAACTGAGGGGGCTGTCACCACTGCGGCCCCACCACGTACTCAAGAAAATCAATACTCTCAGGTTCTCACTTCCCAGTAGTTGCAAGTTTGCAACAAATTAACATGCCTTGCCGCTAGCGCGGATCGACTTGTCTCTACGCCTACTCTCCTGGATACAACACGACTCCTATCAATTTCATACTTTCATCACCGTGGGGCCTACTACAAACCACCCTGTCTTCGTGACATTCTCTCAAACAGCACCCGTGCATTCTGGCAACGTTAAGAACAACTTATGGATCATCTGTTGTGGGAGCACTTGGGTGAGATTCCATTCTCCCAAGTAGCAACGCTTGATGAATATCGACCACTGCTACTACTCCTACAGTCCTACTCACGACCAGAGAATGAATACGTGATAATTCTTCAGAACATTTGAAAGATTGGATTTTGATCATGAACATATATTGTTCCTAGTTGTTTGGAATGCCGATTTACAGAGTTGTGGGAGATACAGTCGCTTAGGTTTCCATAATTATTGGGGATGCAATAAGCGAATTCCCAGTTTTATTGCTATTATATAAGCTTCCCCCGTTTATGTCTTCATTGGAATGCTTGTAAAGCGAACGGCTATCGTTGCTCTCTTCACATTCGACAGGCGGCGGGAAATGGTAGGTATCATTTACTCCACATGTCATAATTTCCCGGGACGTAATTAGGTGGAACCCAAGAAGAGTAGGTATGGAATATCGACAAACTGATACCAAAATTTGGGTACGTACCAAATACAAAAACCAAAATTTCGGTTGGGTAATGGGTAAGTATAATTTTGAAAATTTGATATTCGGTTCCGTAAATATAAAAATATGCTGGCTTTCGGTATTTACCGAATGGCGAATACCGAAATTTATAAAATAATAAATATTAAATATATAATATATTTATATATTTTGACCAAAAATACATAAATATTTATATATTTGTATATATAATTATATATATATTTACTTATGTATTATATATTTATATATAATATTTTTTTGTCAGCATATATTTATATATAATATACATAGTATTTATATATTATATATAATATATTTAAATATTTATTTATAAATATTTACATAAATATTTAGTAAATATATGCTTGCCAATTACCGAACCGGATTTTATTCGGTTTTTACCGAGCCAAACCGATTTAGTTTGGCTCGATATTTGGTATGTGAAAATGCATAACCGAAACTTCGGTTTACCGAAAATTTGGTTCAGTTCGGTTCGGTATTACCGAACGAACACCCCTGCATAAGTGACAAGCATTTTGTGTACATAGATTGCTCGTTCAGAAGTTGTCTGTATATAAAAGCATTTAGAGTGCGTACACAAAATGTATACAATTATGTGTGCAAATAGACAATCCTATGTTCAATATGTAAAATTTTGGGCTATTTACTTTTTTTTTTTTATGTAGTACTCCGTATTAAATTATGTTTTCCATCATTTGCAATGGAGCCAAAGATTCATTATTTTTTTGCTTGAAAATATGGTGGAATAAATTAAAATGACTCACTAAACTGTCTGTGCTTCTTTGTGATGGAGCAACATTCAGTCCATGCAATTTTGGATGCGATTTTCACTATGGGTCATCCAGAAACCGTCTCTCTGTGCTTTAGTACAGGGGTAAGACTGTGTACATCCGTCCCCCCTTACTCCACCGTAGGTGGGAGCCTTTGCGGCATTGGGGTAAATGAAAATGATGAAAATGAAATGATGAGTATTAAATTATGTATGAATTAAAATTAAAAGTTAATTTGATAACAATGAAATTAACTGGACCAACCATTCAATTAAAAATTATCGAGTATTAAGTTCTGATTAAATTAGTTGAATTTGCATAATTATTAAAAATTGTATTTTAAAATATACTACGTACTCTATTAATAAAATAGAAAAAATTATACTGTGTATGAAAAATAATACGAATGAAAAATAGTTTTGTTAATGGAAAACTATTTATATTAAAATTAATAACTCAAACATTATTACGATAGCCTCAAATAGCCCCAATCAGAAGCCCTATGATTAAATTTAGACTTTGCCATCCACAAATGAGCCGCAAAAGTCGCTAACCATGTAATAGACAAATAGAAGTTTAATTTGATCATGTCGATCTCTATGTTTCTAACCTGGTATGAAAATCCTGTAATATCTCTAAAAGATTTAAAATGAACGGAACATTTAACTTTTAGTAGTTTTGAACTTTTGTAATGTTTTACTCCTGGTAAGGGAATTAACTCAGAGTAATTACTAGTGTGTTTGACATTATAAAGTGTTAAATACTGCGTGATAGCATTTTTCAAGTTTGGCTATTTTTTTAAACCCGGTAGGCAAACCACCTAAGTCGGTCGGGCAAACGCCGGGGAACATTTACTATATTTTAATAAAAGAATAGAAGGAGATAAAACCAAAAACCTCTTCCGCGAAGACATACCTTCTCAAAACCCAACCACGTAACAAAAACATACTCCGTAAAAAATAAAGTTGGGGGCTATACCTAACCCAACTTAATTACAACGACAACTTCTTTGGAACTCCTTAATGCCTAATATTGCAGGCTAACATCTAGGGCAGAGCACGGGTCGGGTTCGGGCGGGTCGGGTTCGAAAATGGTAAACCCGTTCGGGTATCGGATTGATAATTTCAAACCCTACACTATCAAAAAATATATCGGGTTTTTCGGGTTGGGTTATGTTCGGGTTTCGGTCGGGTTGATTCGGTTTTCGGGTCCATTCGGATTTTAATTTATTATTGTTAAAATTGTGATAAATAAAATGGTAATTGGTAAAAATATCATTCAAAGTTATACTAGTATAACATTCAAAGTAATAGTTGTATAAATATGATAATCGACATATTTGAACATGTAAAATAATAATATACGGTGATATACATATTTGATATTGTGATAAATAAAATGACAATTGGTCAAAATATCATTCAAAGTCATAACAATACAACATTCAAAGCTATAGTTTTACAAATACGGTAATTGAAATACTTGAATATGCATAATATGGTAATTGACATACAATAATTGAGATATTTGAACATGTATAATAATTCAAAGTAGTATATATACTACGCTAGTTCGGGTTTTCGAGCGGGTCGGGTAGCATAATTGGTAACCCTACCCGCCACCTGCTTATTCTCGGGTTGCAAAAATCGGGTCAGGTTTGGGTGATTCGGGTCGGGTTATGCGACCCAAAAAAAATAATCGGATATATCTGGTCGGGTCAATCGGGTAGGGTCGGGTTTGCTCTCCCCTACTAACATCAATAAACAATTCATTTCCATTGCAAGTAAGCTTTCTTTCCCACTATTAGTATTGCTTCCGGCCATCGTCGGACCGTTCATTTTCATCAGTAACAGGTGGTGGGAAGTCTTCCCAATTATAACCAGACTCATCAGTTGGCGGGATAGTATTCCAATTATTAGCAGATGTATGAGGTGGGATATCTTCTCAATGATAATAACCAGATTCAGGTGGTGGGATATTATCCCAGTTTGAAACTAAGGACTGGGAAACCTTGTCTTCTGCCAAAACAAAAACCAGACGCTCTATTGTCTCATCACCAAATTTAAAGTGTACAGCTGATGTGTGCAGTCCAATTTCCTTGGGTTTACAAAAAAAAAAGATGACACCCCATCCCTGAGGGCCCCCCAACACCGACCGGACGGCATGTTGGGAGGATGTAAATTGGACTATAATCACAATCTGACAGATAGAGAGTGGGGCTCTGTCCCCGGTACTTGCAGAGGCCCTATGCATTTTTCAGCATAGTAACCCTTCATCGCAGTTGCCGGGATTCGAACCCGAGACCTAACCCTTGTGACACTCCCTCGCTACCAGTTGAGCTACGCCCACCGGTTCCTTGGGTTTACAAGATAACCAAACAGTTAAAGTTTGCCCTGGCCGCAGTGTTTTATCCTCCACACTAAAGGTTTCCACAAATTCTTCAATAAAATCAACATCAGAAGTTGCTGTTGGAGGCTCCATCAAAGAGAGTGTGAAAGAATCCTCAGGTTTCGAGTCATGAATCTTTATTGATGATAAATCCAATGAGTCATCTGTAATATTTTTTACAGTGGTTGCATTTACAATTGTTTCTCCTACACAGCCGGACACTGGTCTTCCATTTACCAAAGCAAATGGAGCAGATATGTGAACTATCTCACTCTCTCCATCTAGATCACAGCTGCCACGAGATTTATAGTTCTCAATGTCAATGAATCCGAGATCACCTTTACCACCAATCGCAGAATACTCACCATCTGATTTAACATCAACAGTACCCATGTTCCCTTGGTGATTATATACAATGATCCTTTGAAGATAAAATTCAAGGCAATCCTGCAGGCTAACAGTAAATTTCAAGTCATAGACTAAAGTGCTAAACAAACTCTTCTGAGTAAAGATAACATTTATCTGGGAGTGACACAGCAGAACAACGTTTAAAGAAAAAGAAAACCATCAAAAATGGCCCTTTGAAGATAACAATTATGGCAAATAGGATGGTTTAAACTCGAATTGGTGTTATAAAAAGAGTGCATTTCAATTCGATCATTGGCTATACAACCTTTCTTTAATAGTATAGAAACATAGAAAACCATTACATATCTTCCAATTACGTCAGAATTACTGCTTCAAAAGTTAATGGTCGAGAAATATGAAAAGCAAAAAAAAAAATGGTTAAGGTACTAATCATAACGAAAATACTTATTTAGCAAGTACGAAGCAAGAATCAAATTGCGAAGGGGTCAGTGGTACTGTGGTAGAGCTAAAAAACTAGTGCCCCCCGCCCCTACAAAAATATTTAACAGGACCGTACAATAAGTCTAAAAGTGCATACGAATTGATTTCAATTAATCAAATTGCCAAGTACTACTAAAGAAACCTATCAAACACAGCATCTATCTCGAGCACAAGCAGAGTAGTGAAATAAGAAAGTTCGGAGAAAGGAGATATGGGGTGTTTGGATCTGATTCTCAAAACTGATTCTGCTCCTTCAGGGAGCAGAAGCAGAAGCTGGAGTGTTTGGGTGAAATTCCAGAAGCACTTCTGGAGCTCTAATTTACTCTCAGAATCAGTTTTGCTGGGGGTACCAGCTTCTGAAAACTGATTCTGATTCTGCTTCTGCTTTTAAAAAAGAAGCAGAAGCAGAATCAGTTCCAAACACCCATATATTTGTTAGGGTTATGATCTCCAGGGCTCACACACAAATCTGAAAAACTAGAAAGAAAAAAACGAGAAGAACTACACAAGAATTTACCGTAGTTCAACGGGTAAATGTTACTGACCTAATCTACGGGGCAGTGTTTTCTTTCTTATTGAGGTGACAGAAAACAGGAGTTTACTAGTCCAACTATAAAAGAGACAATATATATAGGCAAACAATTAGGGTAAACTTTTAATTAAACTCTGGGTTTGACTGCCACCCAAAAACAGGCCCAACTAGCTACGCTGCTGCACTTCTAGCTAGGGTCGGCTGCTGCTCACCGCTTATTTGGCTCCCAGATCTAAATGGGCCAAAGCCTACACCCCAACAATATATCCCAACGATAATGCAATAATAGGGTAAGCTTTTTGCATGATCCGAGATTGAATTCTTACAAAGATGACTCTTTTTCTCAGCTCCGCCATTGGCTTCTTCTGCGGTAGATCTCCAATTCGCGAGTAACTCTCATTGAAATTTCGAGTAAGGGGGCGAATTTTTTTTCAAGACTAGCGTAGAGGGACAATTTTCTCAACTAATGTAGCGGGCAAGTTTTTCCCACTAGTGTAGCGGGACATCTTTTTCCGCTAATGTAGGTCTCTTCTACTAATTTTATCCAAAAATTCAAATCTATAAAATTCTAAGTTAGACAATGAAAAAAAACTTTTATTTTATAACTGTTAGTGCAATAGAAAAATGTATTCATACATTAAAGCATAAGAAATGACGTATCAAAGATAAATTATTTGAAAATAAAAAAAGCATTTACAACATTTTATTAAATTATTCAAATGTAAAAAGTTTAAAAGTTACACATCAATCAATGTTTATTTAAATAAATTATACCTTGTTTAACCACATGAGTTTTATCAGAATAAAGATTTGATTTTTGAATTGCAATTTTTGTCTATCAAAGAGGGTGTTCATGGGTCACCAAAAACTTTCTTAATATTACAATAATATGTACTCTGTATGAGATTATTATTTTTAGAATACTATTATTACTAGTCTTTCGACGCGCGATGCGCGGGAAGAAAATGCCGAATAGTATTTCGGTAGGATTGATCGAGTAAGGTATTGTTGATCAATATAATTTTATTTTATTTTTAAACTACAAACATTTTTTTTACACAATTTCCATATTGGATTAAAGAATGAGTCTACCTACCTAGTACTCACGTATTTAAATGCTACAAATGCTAAAATTGAATGCATATTTTCAATTAGAGATGTGTAAAACTCATTTTTCAATTACAGTAGTGTAATTTGCCTCTAGGTTAATTTTCCGATTTTGATCATATTGATCAAAGATCGGTCGTCTTTGTTCGGCTGTCTGGCCGTGGTCCGTTGGAGTTGGGTTTTCTCTCTAGGGCTACGACTTTGTTGGTCGTTGGAGCTTCTTTCCGATTTCGACTTTGTTGAAGATCGACTTTGCTTCCCTTGTGTCGCCGGTGCCCGGTTGGAGTCCAGGTCAAGCGCGGAGGGCAGAAATCGATGGAGGAGGGCAGATTTGTTGTCATGGCTCGAGGAGACCGGCGCTGCGGTCATGGTTCGAGGATGTGGCGTTGTTGTCGTCGTTGGGGGAGATCGGCGCCGCCTATCCGTTTACTCTGGTCGCACGGAGTAGGAATGAGTTTGGTTATGCAGGGACGGAGGATTGATGCATGGTCTTTGGCAGCCAAAGGTCATGGAGGATCATTTAGCATGGTACCGGTGGTACAACCTCCTCCTGAACCACCACCATGTGATGTATGAGGTGTTAGAGTTCGTGATGGTTTTCTTAATAATTTTTATCTGTTTGTCATTTATTTTCTTGTGTCCATTTTTGTTGTTGGTTTTGACAATTTGTTTGAGTTTTTTGCCTCTATTTATGTCATTGGGTATGGTTGGATCTATGGGAACAAGTTTGGCTGTGTCAAGCCCACTACATGGTTAGCGATTCATGTTGCTCTTTCAGGGGTGACAGTCTCAAAGTCTCACCATAGGGTTACAGTCGTAGTTGTTGGAGTTTCAATTGGTGTCAGTTTTATTTTCCCTTTGCTTGATGTAATGATCCTGAATATTTTGATATGAATAGAGGTATGTTTTGATGATAAAAACAAATTATAGTGTAAATTCTTACAATGAGCACTACTTTTTTAAAACTCACGTAGTACATCACTTTTATTGGTGTGTAGAGGGATGCAACAAATGCTAAAATTGAATGCATATTTTCAGTGAGAAAATCAAGGGTCTTATAGGAAGAGCATAAATAGCCCATTTTAAAGAAACCCTCATTTAGGCCTATTTCAGAGCCCCTTACTATGTTGCAAAGAAAAATTATGATAATAGCCCCCATACAGGAGTAAGGCTTTGTTTGCAAACACAACTCCCAAATGCTTTTAACTTTTTAAAGTGATTTGGAGAAAAAATGATTAATAGTAAAGGTTTGTAGTGTTTGGAAAAAAAGTGATTTTGAAAAGTAAAAGTTGGCCGTATTTGGTAAAATAAGTGTTTTCTGTGTAATAGAAAAAAGTAAAAAGCAGATTCTAACTTTTAACTTTTAAGTATTAATTTAAGTAGAAGTTGTTACTTGAAAACACCTTTGTTTTAGCTTTTTTAAGCCAAAAACTGGGAAGTGCTTTTTTTTCCGTGTTCGCAAGCAAAGCCTAAATAGTCTCAAAATGTAAATACTGGATTATAATATCCAAACAAATATAATTTATACCCCCTCTTCAATACGGGTATTGCTACACCCGCCCCATCCCCGCCCCGTCCCCGTTATACATATATATATATATATATATATATATATATATATATATATATATATATATATATATATATATATATATATATACTCAAACATATATATACACATCTATAAATATTGTACACACATATTCAATCAAATTATATGTAGTACTATCGTATATAACAAACACATATACATAATTACATATAGACATATATATATAATTGTATACAGTTTAATCATGATTAATGAATTCATACATATTATACTAGAATAATAATAAGCTAGTAATGATTAAAAATATTTATCTGTTAAATGAGTATTAAGAGTGAGCAAGTGAGTAAGTAAATGCACACACATTTATATGTAATATAATATGTAATTAATTGTATTATAATTGTTGAATTTTTTGTAACAACGTATATGATGATAATATGTTTACTTATATTCTTACTTCAACTATCTTCAATTCAACAAACTTATTCAATTTGAAGAATGATTAAAATTGGCGGTATTGACTTTTAACAAGCACAATACTTCAGTGTTGCGTGTGTGTATCATATATCACTATGTGCGCGTAGATATATATAGGTTTAGGATCAAATGAGAACAACACTTAACGTGAGAGCGTGCGAACACCACATTTACCCGCAATGTGAAGCACAATGGGCTCGCACAATGCACTTTTTCGTATCTAGCATAGTATTTACAAAAGTGTCAATGTGATTATTTATATTAGCTTGTATTGAGCAAAGTTCAACTGTCCAAATGTGCACTAGAATGACTCTATTGTGTATCACATTAGATTATTGTGTATCACATTGGATTAAATGTGAGTGTTCCAACGTTAAGCATTGTTCTCATTAAAATCACACTACATATATTTATGATAAGAGATTAAAAGTATATGCAAAAATGATAAATTAAATCTATATGAGGGCACCCGTGGGCACCCGTGGGGGACAACGAGGTGGAGCGGGTCTGGGAGTAACGGGGGATGGGGCGGGGATGGGGAGAACTTTTTAGACATGGGGCGGGGATGGAGGAGTGTACCCCCGCCCCAAACCCGCCCCATTGCCATCCCTAATTCGCAACCCAAATTATCCGGACAAGAGCTGAACACGTTGCGTACGGGGTTATTACTATAAGTTTAAATGAAATTATACCATTTTTTCAAAAAAAAATAGCATTTGTAATAAACAAAATATTATTTAAAAATCATTTTTTATCAAAAGCTTTAACTTCAACCTTTTCACTAATCTCCATTTCTCACTTCCTTTTTGATCGATCCTACTAAAATTGTATTATACGGAGTAATAATTTTCCATATTATTCTTACTTTATTCATATTTATCAATTTCATACGTAGTATAAATCACATAATCTCAACTTTACAAGGATAAAAGCTAACGGTTACATATAGTAACTATAACAATGCCGCCTCATAAGAAGTGCAATATACATTTTTTTGGACAGGTGCAATGTACATTTTCTACACTCACAAGTGCTATGTACTTAAAAAAAGCATAATGTGTGTTATTAACTTATCTTCTCATATTTATTTAAGCTATATAACCATTTTACCCTTTGTATTACAATAAAACCTTTTTGTCTTATTTTTGTTTATCATCAAACAGACCTCTATTCATATCAAAACATTCGGGATCATTACCTCAAGCAAAGGAAAAATAAAACTGACACCAACCGACATTCCAACAACTACGACTGTAACCCTATGGTGAGACTTTGAGACGGTCACCCCTGAAAGAGCAACACGAATCACTAACCATGTAGTGGGCTTGACACATCCAAACCTATTCCCATATATCCAACCATACCCAATGACATAAAGAGAGGCAAAAAACTCAAACAAACTGTAAAAACCAACAACAAAACAGGATACAAGGAAACAAATAACAAACAGATAAAAACTACAAGAAAAAAGATCACGAACTCTAGCACCTCGTACATCCCATGGTGGTGGTTCAGGAGGAGGCCGAACCCCCGGTACCATGGTAATTGATCCTCCATGACCTATGGCTTCCAGCGACCATGCATTAATCCTCCGTCCCTGCAGAACCAAACTCATCCTTACTTCGTGCGACCACAGCACCGCCGATCTCCTCCAACTACAACAACACCGCCGCATCCTCAAGCCTTGACCACATCGCCGATCTCCTCGAGCCATGACAGCAAAATTGCCCAATACGAAAGCCTTCAGCCACACTGCTCGTCCCAAAACTGCTTGCCGTGAAGCAGAAGAAACCTGCAACAAGTTCGTACCCGAACTCTGCGTCGACGCTCATCAGGCCAGAGAACGCCAATCACCGGATCAGGAAAATTGGCCGAAGCCACCGGAACCCACAGCCAAAACGAACACCGCCCGAAAAACAAGCTCTAGTGGCAGGATGTCGTAGAGAGAGAAAAACCCTCCACTCCTCTTGTACTTAAAAAACATCATATATAATTAAGTTGCTTGCCTTTGTGTCTTACTTAGAGAATACAACATTTTCTCATGTTTAAAAATAATTTAATTACATGATAAAAAATAGGGAAAACTGTCAAATAGGTCCTCGAACTTTCATAAAAAGGTCAATTAAGTCCTTCTATAGGAGATTCTGTCCGGCCATCGCGATTTGGGGCAGTTCTCGGTGGAATTTTTTGATGAAATTTTTTGAGCATCTTATTCA